GAGAGCATTGTACAGCCTTGTGCAAGGCAGGGAGTTCAACTCTCTATACTGCTGTGCTGAGGAAAAAACAAGACTATCTGGAAAAGAAAACATCTCCCAGCAAAACAGCAGGCATCCCACTAACATCTGCCCTCTCTGAAAGACAGCACTGCTGGGAGGAAGAGGCTGGATGTCATTGCAGACTGGCCCTTCAGCCTCTCCTAAGCACAGAAGACGCTAGAAATTTCAGGATAAGAGTCGAACACCCACACTGCGCTCCCACGTCTGTGTGAGAGCACAAACAGCCCTATCTGAGCAGTGAGGATCAGTAACTGCTGCCATCATTCAAGTGCTGATGTTCTCTGGAACAAAATGTTAAAAGAACGAAGCAGGCACCTAATGCTCAGACAAGGAAATTACCAAAGGCACTTCCCACACACCTCTTCCTTCTCCCCCTCATAGCCTCAAGTGCTGCAGCAATCAATACCTGCCCAGCTGCCGTGGCTGGCACAGCAGAAGAAAATGCCCATACACTGCCTGCTGCAAAGAAAACAGGAAATTGTAGAACCACACAAGTGCTGGCTGGAGGGGCTGCTCTGAAGGCTCCAGTCCAGCCTCGTGCTCTCAGGCAATACCTGGTCAGTCAGCTGTGGCTTTGTCCAGCCAAGTGTACAAAGACAAACTGCATGCTGCGTCTTTTTAACATGGGAGGGCTTGTTTTACACTCAGAGAATGACAGAAGAATATGCAAGCTTACTTCCTGGATAAGGCACAGGATTGGGAATTCCTACCAGGATAATACAGTCAAACCAAGATTATCTGGTTCTCTGACTGAAAATACACTTTACGGAAAACATTTTCCAGCAACAGAGCTCAAAAGTGGTTTACGAACTCTAAAAAAAATAAATAAAAAAAATACACAAATTGCTCATCAGTGTCCCTCCTCCTATCAGCAAGGAGCAGAACCTCCAGCATGGCAAAAGCAGCAATTTGGCAGCCCCACCAAAAAACATTCAGAGATAAACACCATGGTCAATGGCACCAGGGAAAAGAGTGAGATGGAATGTCACTCCTACAACCTAAAGCATTTTGAGAGCTGCAAGTGGTTGAGACCTTGCTGTATGTACAGCCATTCTCTGTTAAAACAGTAATGGCAGGAAACTTGACGTAAGGATAAGCTTGGCAGGACTGCCATACATAAAAGTAGCATGGTCTTTGACTCAGATAAGGAAATCATGCATGTAGGCTGCTGCCCAAGGCAGGGTGGGAGGAGACGCTGATACCTGGTGCACATGCAAAGCAGGGTCAGACGGTTCACCCCACGCAGCCACTGTGTTTGTGAGAAAGGGCAAAGGAAACTCAGCCCAAAGAAAGCAGATTGGAAGGAACCATGGAAGCAAATAAAACAACTGATCACCTATTACAAGGCAACTCACAGAGCAAGCAGCAGAACACAGACCTGAATTAAATAAAAATATGTGCATTAGACACAGGACACCAGGAGCATGTATTTTGCTGATAGACAGCAACAGATTACCAACACAAACTCAGCAAAGAACGTGGGAGAACTGAAGACAACATGGAGGAGTTAAGAAGCCCAAACATTAAAAACAGCTCCTGTACCAAAGAATTCAGAGACAGGTCACCCACACAACCCTCTGATATTCACAATCAGTGAGCTGTACTGTTAATACCAGGTAAACCAGTATAAAAAGAGTCTATTAATTTAAAACCTCTAAAAGAGAAGCATGCATGGAATGGGGACAAGCCAGGACAAAGTTTGAACAAAAAAATTAAAGCTCGCTTACTGGACTTACCATCCATCACCCAATGATCACAGGCAAATGTTCTATGAGGCTACCTGATGGAAAAGCTTTACTGAGAGAGGGAGGGGTGAAAGGAAGCTCTATCAAGCCCACAGCAGAACCTCCCGAGGCTCTCTACTTCCATGAGAAGCCATGGAAGAGAATAAAATGGACAAGAACTAACTTAGAAAACTCAGTATCACCAAAACGAAAAAGTGACAGCAAGAAGAGAGAGAAAGCTCAGCAAATGAGAGAAGCAGAGTAGAACAGGCAGAGATTGTCCATGTCAGTAAAGAACAGACACTGCCCACCCACAACCAGAGCATGGACTCGAAAGAAACATCCAGACTTCCTGAAAAAGGGAAGCTGCTGAAGCTAGGGTAAAGACAAGCACAAAGACACTGTCAGAGATAACACAATTGATTGGGGAAGCTAATGGTGAAGCCTGGACTCCTACTACCCACGATAAGGGATGATAAAAGCAAATTCTGCATTTCTGGGTGCTCCCACTGGTCTGACCATGCAAAAACTAGCAAACTTCCCAAGAAGCTGAGACACCACTTTTCTCAGTGCATCATTAACTCTGGAATTTGTAGCACAAAGGCAGAAACCAGAGACATGCAAGGGGATGGGAACATGAGCTTCTGTTTCTGGGGCCAGACAACATTTTAGCCTTTTCCAGGAAACCCTCAGCACCAGCTCAGCTACTCTGATCAGGTCACATCAAGTCCTACACTCATGACCTGAAAGCATCACAGAGCCACACAACACAGAGCCATCTGCTTCAAGAGTAGCACATTCCAAACCTGATTCCCCTCTTTGAAGCTAAGTCCAAAGTCAATGAGCTTAAAGCACTCCTCCTCTGCGCTCCACAGGATGTTTCGTGGCTTGAGGTCTGCGTGCACGTAGCCTTTGTGGTGCAGGAAAGCCAGGGCTTCCAGAACGTCTCGGGCGCAGTGCTGGATCATCCACATGGAGCAGCCCTGGTTGCTGGAGTGCAGCAGCAGCTCGGACACACTGATGTCCAGCAGCTCCAGCAGCAGGCAGCGAGACGGGCCGTTGGCAGAGTAGTGGTTGGTGAACACACCGTACAGAGTCACTGCAGTGAGACACAGCGACAGGCATGGGTCATCCCCTTCCACCGCCGCACACCACCACAGCTGCAGGGGGCAGCCCAGCTGTTTTGTAACGGGTGATGTTCAGAGGGATGGAGAATCATGCTTCGGAGGGAAGCAGCAAGGGAAAACCAGCCCTGTCACCTCTACGGGCTTCAGAGGACAGGCCAGTCTCACAACACCCCACCAGGCTTTGCTAAAGGTCAGGGCTGGGTGCTCCTGCTCAGGACAATCTGGGACATGGATAAGTGGGGGGGGGGCAAATTGGATGTAGCGCCACTCTTTTTGAGACATGCTGATCTCTTTCCTGTGATAAATCTTGCACAGTGGGACCCAAGCTCTGTCTGGGTGTCCAGGCACATTATGGTATAAAAAAACATTTCATACCAACAAAAAAATAGCATCAGTGGGTGAACTAGGGCGCTTCCAGCAGCCACCTCAAATACACAGGCTTCCTCCCTTCCCAAGCTCATTCCCACCTGTGGAGGCAGCCCAGGAGCTCCAGCCCAGACCAGGCAGGCCAGCAGGCACACACTGTCCCACTGCTGCCCCACAGGCAGCATGGCTCTTGCCAGGGCAGCTCTGACACCCTGCCCAAAGGAGGACTCAGGGGTGCCCTGCCTGCAGTGACCCTCTCTGCCCACACAAAGGGTGATTCCTGTCTCTCCTGCCCACCCTGGGGACATCCCCTGCAGACCCTGTGTCCAGGTAAGGGTTGAGGTACCAGGAGCACCCACCACAGCGAGGCTGCTTTGGGGCACCCAGGCTGAGGGCCCTTAAACCTGCCCACCCAGGGGTGCCAACCCAAAAAGCACAATGCCCTGCCAGCGGGGGTGGGCTTGGGGGCGAGGATGCCCGTATTCCCAAAGGAGTTGGGGGTTCCCCTCCCTGGCTGGAGGGGTTGGCTTGGGCGTTTGCCCTGGGTGGGCAGAGGTGGGGGCTATAAGGATAGAGGGTGCCCGCGAGGGTCCCCGAGAAGAGGCGTTTGGGGATCCGAGG